GTGACCAAAGGTGGCAACGCACTGGTCTACCAGATCGAAAATGAGTACGGCGAGCAATGGAACGATCGTGATGAGAAGATCCCCAATGATGCTGCCGGGAGATACATGCAAGCACTAGAAGACTCTGCACGAGCCAACGGCATTGATGTCCCTCTCATCCACAACGACCCGAACATGAACACCAAGAGCTGGAGTAAAGACTATGCGCCTGGTGCTGTCGGCAATGTCGATGTAGCTGGATTGGACAGCTACCCGTCTTGCTGGTCATGCAACCTCGACGAATGCACTGGTACCAACGGAGAATACGTAGCCTACCAGGTCATCGACTACTACGATCATTTCGTGGAAGTGTCTCCCACTCAGCCAAGCTTCTTCCCTGAGTTCCAGGGTGGCTCCTACAACCCATGGGGTGGACCCGAAGGAGGCTGCCCCGCTGACATTGGAGCCGACTTCGCGAACCTATTTTACCGAAATCTCATCTCTCAGCGTGTGACTGCTGTGTCGCTGTACATGATGTTCGGAGGAACCAACTGGGGTGCTCTAGCTGCTCCAGTCACAGCTACTTCCTACGACTACAGCAGTCCCATTAGCGAGAACCGTGAGATCGGCGCTAAGTTCTACGAAACCAAGAACTTGGCCATGTTCACCCGTGTTGCCGACGATCTCACCGTCACCAACCGCCTCGGAAACTCAAGCTCCTACTCCACAAACCCGGCGGTTGAGGCTAGCGAGCTCCGCAACCCCCTTACCAACGCTGCCTTCTACGTCACGATTCACTCTACGTCTTCGTCTGCCACCAAGGAGTCGTTCAAGCTACATGTCAGCACTTCCGTCGGGAACTTGACTATTCCTCAGCATGCCGGATCCATTGTTCTCGACGGTCATCAGTCCAAGATTCTTGTGACCGACTTCGCCATGGGCAACAACACCCTCACCTACTCTACTGCTGAGGTTCTCACATACGCCATGGTCAATCATAAGCCAGTCGTAGTACTGTCGACTGGTGTCGGAGAGTCTGTTGAGTTCCACGTCAAGGGTGCTACGAAGGGCTCTCTAGTCAGCAGCGGTAACAGCTCGAACGCGACTTTTCATGCCGAAGCTCACGGTCTTACAACCAACATCCAGAAGGTTTCCGGCATGAACGTGTATCAGTTTGACAACGGTGTAAAGGTTGTCGTCGCTGACAAGCCCACTGCATACCTCTTCTGGGCCCCTAATCTCTCGAAGGATCCCTTCGCACCGGTCGACCAATCCGTGCTGGTCCAGGGCCCATACCTCGTCCGTAGTGTAGCACTGGATGCCGATTGTCTCGCTCTCAAGGGTGACATCATGAACAGCACCAACATCGAAGTCTTTGCCACTGGCAGTGCGAAGACACTCTCTTGGAACGGGAAGGAGCTGGCCACCTCACGCACATCGTACGGTAGTTTGAAGGCACACGTCGCTGCGTTCAATGGCACCATCAACCTGCCCTCCTTAGACAACTGGAAGATGAACGAAGGACTTCCAGAGAAGATGCCCGAGTACGATGACAGCGGTGCCGCATGGGTTGTCGCTGACCACACCACCACCCCCAATCCTACCAAGCCCGACACCCTGCCTGTTCTCTACGTTGACGAGTACGGCTTCCACAACAGCTTCCACCTCTTCCGCGGTTACTTCGACGGCGCGGCCACCGGTGTGCAGCTTTCCGTTCAGGGTGGTCTCGCCTTTGGCTGGAGCGCATGGTTGAACGGTGAGTTGGTTGGATCGTGGTTAGGCAACACCACCCTAGGCGTTGGCAACATGACACTGTCATTCGCCAATGCCACTCTCCACGAGAACAGTACCAACGTGTTGCTTGTCGCCCAGGACAACACCGGTCACGATCTGCGCGGTGGTGCTACCGACCCCCGCGGTATTCTCCGTGCCACTCTCGAGGGTGCAGAGTTCACATCTTGGAAGATCGCTGGTGAAGCCGGTGGTGAGGATGCGCTACTCGACCCTGTACGCGGTCCTCTTGCTGAAGGCGGTCTCACCGCTGAGCGTCTCGGATGGCATCTTCCCGGCTTCGACGACTCTGAATGGGCTTCTGGCTCACCATCCACTGGCTTCGAAGGCGCAGACATCAAGTTCTACCGCACAACCATTCCTCTTGACGTACCCGCTGAAGTTGATGCTTCTTTCGCTTTCGTCCTCAACGCCGTCGGCTCGAAGACCATCCGTGCGCAGCTTTTCGTCAATGGTTACCAATACGCCCGCTTCAACCCGTACGTCGGCAACGAGATCAAGTTCCCGGTACCGCCGGGTATTCTCAACTACTCGGGCGACAATGTGATTGGTTTGAGTGTTTGGGCGCAGTCGGAGGAGGGCGCGCATGTTGATGTGCAGCTTGTGCAGGAGTATGCTATTGAGAGTAGCTGGAGCTCGAACTTTGACTCTGAGTACTTGAGGCCGGGGTGGACGGAGGAGAGGCTGGCTTATGCTTGAGCGTGTGTCGAAGTGACCTTGATTCAATTTAGCCTTTTTTGAGATACGAATTCAAACGAATTGAAATGTTCATGGCAGAGTCTTGTAGTGACGCAAGTTAACTGAAACATGGTGTTTGCGATCTCACAGGTCAGGTAAGGGGCCGACAGCGTGGATTTTTGTAACATCTTATGTTGATACATATGCAGCGACAGCTTGGAGTGCTCGTTTATCTCGGTATCGCGTTCAGCGGTCGCCCTTGATCTGGCTTCTCGTTTTCCTTCATGGATATGTTTACTGTCCATTCCAAGCCTTCTTTCGAGCGTATCTTCCTTGCGAGTGCTTCCAGCGTAAAGCCTGGCCCAACAGGGATTCTGATACAATCTGTGAAATGAGTTCGTTGCGCCGAGAAAGGCTGATCGCTTGTTTCAGCTTCGAAGACCTTGCGTTTCTCATTTACTTCCTCGATCCACCTGACAGCGACACAAGGCGATGCGTCAATCCACAGTCGGCCTCCGCTAACGCCCAAGAAAAATAAGTAGTCAGAAAGGCCGTCTAATATGAACAAGAAACTGATAAACTCGCCCTCATTGACGATCTGGTCTCCTAACCTGGAGATCAAGTTGTTTCGTTGTGTGTCAGAATCCAGTATCTCGAATACAACGTTTTGTTGATAGGGAAAAACCTCCCAATAAGTTCCTGTGGCAACGCAGCGAATACTGCTTGGCTCAGCCCTATTATACACCCTCATAGAAGCGCCTTTCACCGTCGTTCTTGTAAGCTTTCGGAGACCTGTGTGGATGTAGATAGTTTTCGGGGTGGCTTGCTTGGCTTCCCTGTGACCCATGATCGTCAATGGCATGTTTAGTCTCTCGTACGTCGAAGTACCAATGGATCTTAACTCAAGCCCACAAGGCAATCCAGTCGAATTTGAACAGTCCAGCAATGCTACAACTCCAGTTCGACGAGAAATGCAAGGAGAGGTTATCTTGAGTCCATTATTGGTCATTTCGTAAGTTGCAGGAAGTCTTTCTCGAGTGGCATTAGGCCTGAAAGAAGCCGCGCCCTTGAAATGTGCAGGCGATGATGCGAAGAGGCTCGTGGAACGTAATTCTTCATGAGACTGGTCTTCCCACGCGAAGATTGTCTGATCGTTGGTCTGTTTGAGGATCTCTAGCTGTAAGCGGTAAAACGCGCCTGGGCCCTCTCCATACAACATGGGCATGTTTACCTGGACAAGACCAAGCAAGCAGTACGCCATATCTTCCTCCCGTGTCGTTGCTCTAGCGGAGGCCCAACTGAACTTTGCTGCTATGCTAGCATTCACGATCGCGGTTCGATGAAGTAGACATATCTTGTCGATCTTTGTTGCGGCGACGATTCGATCAATAAGGCTTGTCTTCGTACCCAAAAAGATCCAGTCCGAGTCGTAGAACTCTATGACATCGGGTGCAAGGAGCTCTTGTAGTGTCCATCCTCTTTTGAACCATCGTGAAAATCTAAAATCTCTAGTTCCTGAGCGGTCTGAGAGGAAAACATAGCAGATCGCGGCGTCCCAGTACCACCTGTACATCGAGTTGATCGCTTCTGACAGTTCTGCACTGCTTCTCTTATCGATACAGCACGTGTCAACCCAGGCCCATTCGAATCCCGCCTCAACAGCCAGTGTGCAGCATCGCAATATTTTGGAATAGCCGACCATGTCTTTTGCGTAAGGCTGGGCGATGTCTTCGAAGCTGACTTCACCCTCGCCCCACGTATGGGAGAGAATGACATAATCGGGTATATTGGTGATGAAATGCCGTAGCATCAACGTCTTTGTATCGAGCAGCCACATTGCGACAGGATGAGAGAAAGAAAAGGTAGAGTGACGGAAGGCTGAGATGAACGTCACGTCGAGGCAGTGCACAGATGCCAGACTCAGACTGGCTCGCTTACCCACCTTCACAGGCGGCAAGCGCATTGCAGCCTGTCTTTGACCCCGCTTTCGACTGCCAAGTTAATTCCTGCGCTGCCGCAGCCACAAGAGATACCGCAATGGATTTAGTGTAAAAGCGTCAGCCTACTCATATATTGAGGTCGATTTCAGTTGGAACTGAAGCTGTATGTATAGCAACAACAAAATGATCAATTACCACACACCTCTACAGACGAGCTGAGCATCCCCCGTCAAACGGTCCATCAATACCCTTGATCTCCTTGACCGCAATTCCCAACACCACATCCCCCTCCCTCTGCACCTGCGCACCCTCATCCTCCACATGCCCACCCCCCACAAACCTAACCCCATGCGCCCTACAAGCCCCCTCCAACTTCTCCAGCCCCAGCACCAGATTCCTCACAAAACAAGTATGCAACGCCAACTGCTTCGCCTCCTGCAGCCGAAAAACCTTAAGCACCCTCCTGGTACCAAAGCCGGGTAAATCCATCTCAGCCAACACATCCGCGTTATCCACGAACGGCTGGCCGATGATCGCTCTACCTTTCTCTTCGAGGCAGTCACGCAGTGCGAGGAGGTGTTCTCGGCCGGGAGGTGGTTCCGGGATCGCGTCCTAAGTGAAAGCGGAGGGGTTGTTGGGTGGTATGGGGTAGGGTGAGGCGATGTAAGGGAGGACGGCTTCCCAGCGGGTGATGGTGGCTTGGAGGGTTTCGATCAGCCAGGTGGTGTGGGGCATTACTTCGGGGGAGGTAGCGAGTGCGCGGTGGGCTTTTAGCCAGTCGAGTTTGCGGATTTGGGAGTGGTAGGCGTCGTAGCCTTTGTAGACTGCTTTTGCTTTCTTTAATGGGGGTTGAAGGTAACTGTAGGGTGAACGGCTCACCTTCACTGTATAGGTCGTACGGCGTGGGTGGCTTGTCATCTGTTGAGATATCGTTACTCTGTGTTGAGTTGTTTGTTGTTGGCTGTTTTAGGTCATCACAGCCGGGTAGTGGCGGTAGTAGGTAGTCGGCGTGATTCATGGAATGGTCGGTGAGGTTGGAATGTCGTAGTGCGCGAGTAGACGCATGATGCAATGAAGCTTTGAGCATGAGATCGATGCTAAGGAATAGGTTGTCGTACGAGGTTATGTGGTAGCTTCCCACTGCCCAGAAGCGATGATCGGGATCGACGCGACCCATCGAGAGAGCGGAAGGAACGACCGGCACCGAACTTCACTTGTCAAGTGAGAACAAGACGCGGCGCTGCAATGAACTTTTCAGACTTTGTAGTCAATTTTTTGCGAAGACTCGCGGCATGATACAAGAGACTTGCTTATTGCTTTACAATCGTTACCATCGTTCCAAACCAAGACACGATGCAACATGAAAACGTGATAGTAACACAAAACCTGGCCCATGCACCAAGAGAGCGAGGTAATGACGAAATGAGAAAAAGTAGGGAGAGAGACCGTTACGCCGTCGCTGAATGTTCATATCGGAAACATGGGACTCGTCAATCGAGCGAGTGACTAGAGACCGCTCCATCATCTGAGTGGTAATGAGATCACTCGTCCTTGGTGATCATTCTTGGGGTCGACAGTGGACGGCCGGCGAGGATGGCCTCGCGGTCTTGTCGCATGCCCTCCAGTACCCCGACGAGGCCGCCTTCCCGCATACGCTCCAGAACGACTTTCATGCCTTCACGCGCATTAGGCTGACTTCGCTGCGCACGGGACAGACCAATCTTCTCAATGTTTCGCTGAAGAGCCGCGGTGCCCCAACTGCGCAGGAAGCCCATCTTTTGCGGCTGTTCCTCATCCGCAGCGTCCTCCCTTGCAGCCGCGCGCTTCTTCTTCCATGTCTCCCCGATGTGACTGTGTAGTGTGACAGAGCTTACGACGTCGGTAGTCTCACCCGAATCCTCGACCCTGGCACCTGCACCCTTGGCGCCAAAGTTGATAAAGCCCTGGCGTTGCGTGGCACCGTCCATGGCTTGCCGCATCTTCACGTCTTCGGGCACCAACGGCGAAGGACGTATGAACTTCTGCCTCTCTACGACAGATAGCACGCCTGTCCATTCCAGATTCCGTGACTCCGTGTCCATCCATCCCTCTTTGATGTCTACGACCGACTTCTCGAGAATGTAAGTCTGCGATTCTCCGCTGGCTGAGGTGCCAAGAAGAGACCGCGGTACGAGCTTCAGGACGGCAGAAGGGACTTTGGAGCGCTTTAGGTGGAGGCGTATAGTCGTCAGGCGCTGAGTCTCCGGGTCGTAGTTGCGGGCGATGGTGTCGGTGGAGAGCACGTGAGTGGAGTAAGGGTTCGGGTAGCGGAGGAAGTAGGCGAGCGAGACGGCGGGGAACGGGTACGAGTACGTCTCGTTGGAGGAGTAGAACTTGACCATGGTGACGTCGTCGTGGTCGAATCGGAGTCTCTGTAGGCGTGGGAGGGCGGTACAAGGCGGGAGATATAAAATGGTATAGGTAGGAGCTCAAGGCAGCCTGGAACGCGCGGTCGTCTATCGCCGGTGATGAAGTCGCATGGTCAAGCGCATCCAACCGTGACAATCGGACAGGCTGTTTAGTCGCGCTGGAGAGGGGTAGGGCGAGTTGTCGGGCTGGGTGGTGTGAGGACCAAGGATAGAAACGTCTGGAGCTCTCGCCATCCTGGCGCCATGACGAGATTTGCTGACCTGCATCGGCTTTCCCTCCCGTAACGCCGCTGTGGCTGGTGCGTGGCGCAGGCTGTGGCGGAGTGCGGGGCAGGTCTAGCCACAGGAACGCCAAATTGAGGTGGGGTCCTCCATCGCCGAATATCCAGTGACTCAGCTCCAACACCAAAGAATCGCGCCACGTAATTCCCTAGGCTGGAGTCACTCCTTCATTCACAGCCCGACACACAAGCCATCCTCCAGCACAGCCAGCACCATGACCGAGCCCGAGCCACCCGCCGTCGCCGCCCTCTCACTCTCCGATACAGCGACGCAATCCGTCTCAAAAGCGACCGAGCAGGAGATCAACCCTTGGGATGTACAGGCAGGCGTAGATGAGGAAGGAAACGTCAAGCAATTCGATTATGTCGCCATTTCGCAAAAGTGGGCCACAAAACTCATAGACCAACCGCTGCTGGAGCGATTCGAGCGCGTCACAGGCCACAAGCCGCACCGTTGGTTACGGCGTGGCCTTTTCTTCTCCCACCGCGATCTTGAGCTCATCCTGGACACATATGAGCGCGGCGATGACTTCCTACTATACACCGGCCGCGGACCTAGCAGTGATGCCATGCACATTGGTCACACTATACCCTTTGAGTTCACAAAGTGGTTGCAGGATGTCTTCGACGTCCCGCTGGTCATCATGTTGACGGATGACGAAAAGTTCCTGTTCAAGGAGAAGCTCAAGCAGGAGGAAGTTTACGAATTCTCGCGGCAGAACGCCAAGGATGTCATCTCCGTCGGCTTCGATATCAAGAAGACCTTCATGTACATCGACTCTGAGTTCTTCACATCCGGCTTCAACCGACACTTCAGTCTCAACACCACTGAGTTCGAGAAGCTGGTTACCAACAACCAAGTGCGCGGCGCGTTTGGTTTCGATGGCTCAACAAACATCGGCAGCAATGCATTTGCAGCTAAGCAGTGCGTTGCCGCTTTTGCCTCATCGTACCCCTTTATCTGGGGTGAAGATCACACGACCTACAAGCGCTCGAAGAAGCTTGCTTCCATACCCTGTCTGATTCCCTGCGCTATTGATCAAGATCCCTACTTCCGTCTAGTTCGTGAGAACTGCCACCGAATGGATCTCCCCTCGCCCAAACCAGCCCTCATACATTCCAAGTTCCTCACTGCGTTACAAGGCGCTGGTGGCAAAATGAGCGCGTCCGATGCCAACTCTGCCATCTTTATGAGCGATACACCAAAGCAAATCAAGACCAAGATCAACACCAAGGCCTTCTCTGGTGGCCAAGAAACACTAGAGCTCCATCGCGAGAAGGGTGGAAACCCCGATATCGACGTACCGTACCAGTACATCGGATACTTCGAAGATGATGACGAGAAGCTCAAGAAGCTAGCTGAGGACTACCGCAAAGGCGAACTATTGACCGGCGAGATGAAGAAGGAATGCGTAGACACCATGACTGTGTACGTTAAGAAATTCCAAGAAGCAAGAGCAAAGGTCACCGACGAGATTCTCGACGAGTTCCTCCGCCCGCGGAAGCTAGAGTGGAAGGGTAATCCGAACCCTACCAAGCCCAAACTCGAGCAACCGGCACAAGACACCGAGAGCGGGGGTCCTTCATTGGACGCCGACGGAAAGCCGATGACCAAAAATGCCATGAAGAAGGCGGCTAAGATGGCTGAGGTCGAGCGCAAGAAGAAGGAGAAAGAAGCCGCTGCTGCCGCGAAGCAGTGAGTATGCCAAAACTTGAATCTTCGTTGAAGAGATAGATGCGCGATACCAATATGACCGAGTCGAGTTCACCTGCAGCCTATTCTTAGCCTTCCACAGGTATATTGATTGCAATGTTCCAGCGCAGGGTACTTCCCGGGCCGTTTCCTGATGTAACATCACGTATTGTTTCGAGAGCTATGCTAACGTGATCAAGAAATTGCTAACCTTAGAAGTATCACCGAGTGCGTTAGCCAGATCATGACGTGGAACGCCCCAGATGTCTTCAGCGCTCCCGCCCGGCGCTTTTTAGTCTATAGGTTGAGCGACATGAGAGCGGATCATAATGTGGACCGTACCACTCTCCATACTTTACCCCAGTGGTACGCTGGTCGCGTGCTCCCGTCCGGCCCGCGACGGCCGACCACAAAGCTTGTATCTGCTTCACAGTCAACCGGCGTAGGAGTCACTTCAACCACCGACAACCTGTTCTGCCTAGAGCCGCCAAGTTGTCTTCGAGTCACGATGCCTTCAAGTTTTGATCGGCCTTCTACTCCAGCTGGCTAACGTCTTAGTTCGAGGTCTCGTCTTCCGCTCGCTCGTCCTTATGTGCTATCTTTCGCCGCTGCCTACCCCAAGTGTCTTCTTAGTGCACTCAATCTCGGGTCCTGCTGGAGATGGCTCGCTCATTTGAGGTCATGGGCATGTCATCCCGTCCGGTCCTAATCAACCTGCGTCACATTCCCTCGTGACCCCGCGGTCTTCTTGACTCCGCATCCCCGCGCGTGCTCTATATGTCAAGTGTGACAGTCATCACCTCCAACCGTGACTGGCGTACGCTTCCTCCTCTCATCCCGACTTCCTACAAGTATCGCTGTCGCTCAAACTTCTACACAAGACGATTTAGACCATAGCATCATGGTGTCAGCCATGGAGCGGAAACGACATGGTGTCGTCGACTTTGATCAGCAACTTATGGAGCAAGCCCAATCAGACACACTAAGTTTCGACAGCTCAGACGACACCCTCACCTCCCTACCGGCGATATCGAAGCTCGAATCGACGGATGCGATACTAGAGAGAACGACTACTATTGCTGAAAGCAATAACGAAGCGGAACGATCAATGTCGCTTCGTGAAGGCATCCGCCTATACCCCAAAGCGATAACATGGTCGGTGTTACTATCGATGACACTCATTATGGAAGGATTTTCTACTATCCTCGTACCCAATCTGTTCGCAATGCAACCATTCCGGAAACAATTCGGCACATTACAATCAAATGGCTTGTACGAAATTAGCGCCGACTGGCAGAGCGCACTTGTGAACGGCGGCCTGGCAGGGCAGATCGTAGGGCTTTTTGCTACAGGAACACTCGCTGAGCGAATTGGCTACCGATACACGCTCATGGTAGGGTTGGTGGCAATGAGTGTGTTCATACTCGTACCCTTCTTCGCCACAGGTAAGACGGTTCTGTTGATAGGACAGTGTCTACTAGGTATGCCTTGGGGCATGTTTCAGTGCATATGCACGGTGTATGCTGCGGATGTATGCCCAGTTGCCTTACGGGCGTATCTGACTACGTATGTATCGATCTGTTTCTTTCTCCCAACTTTCGCACTCAGCTCAGTCTAATGAAGCTAACAATGTCAAGTTATGTCAACGCATGTTGGGTCCTCGGCCAACTTATAGCGTCCATCGTCATGCGCGGCATGATGAATAACACCACCACATGGGCCTACCGCATCCCCTTCGCATTACAATGGATTTTCCCTATCCCAATCTTCTTCGCCGTTTACTTTGCCCCCGAATCGCCATGGTGGCTCATTCGACAAGACCGCTTCGTGGATGCGATGAAGACGATGCGTCGGCTGCGCACACAACCAGCAACCATGTCGGACGATGAGTTCGACAAAGCGCTAAACGGCGCAATGGAGGCCATGATACAGACAAACGAGAGAGAGCAACGGATGCAGAGTGGGACAAGTTACAAAGACTGCTTCAAGGGAGTCGACCGGCGCAGAACCGAGATCACGTGCATGGTTTGGATCATCCAGACGCTTTGTGGCAGCACCTTCATGGGCTTCTCCACCTACTTCTGTAAGTCAGCCAACGTCCTACGACATAGCGAACTCGGCGTAGACTAATTTCATACAGATGAACAAGCAGGTCTCGGCTCTTCCCACGCTTTCACCCTCTCACTAGGTCAATTCGCCCTCGGTCTTATCGGCGTCTTCATATCTTGGGCCCTCATGGCACACTTTGGGAGGCGCACACTCTATCTCTCGGGACAAGTCATGACCTTCGTCTTCGTGCTGCTCATCGGGATACTAGCCTGCATACCACATCGCCACCACTTCGTTACCGTCCGCTCAGCGGTAGTAGGCACGTCCTCCCAAGTCGGAAATCCGCATCCTATAGCACTCAACTGGTCTATCGCAGCACTTCTCCTCGCATTCACACTCGCCTATGACGCAACCCTCGGGCCTATTTGCTATGCTCTCGTGTCGGAAATCCCCTCCACACGCTTGAGGAGCAAGACGATCGTTTTGGCGCGCAACTGCTACAACATCTCAGGAATCGTCACAAACATCATCACGCCACGCATGCTCAATCCTACAGCGTGGGGATGGGGAGCTAAAGCAGGTTTCTTCTGGGCCGGCACGAGTGTGATCGGCATTTCGTGGAGCTGGTGGCGGCTTCCCGAACCAAAGGGAAGGACGTTTGGAGAGCTGGATGAGCTCTTTGAGAGGAGGGTGGCCGCGCGAAAGTTCAAGACTACGGACTTTACGGTTGGAGGGGCACTTATCGCGAGAACCGAGAAGAGTAGGGTATAGGAGCATGGAACGTTGGGAGGAAGGGAGTCGAAGATGCCAGGTGGAGCATGTAACGCGACTACGAATTTTTGTTTTCATTGTTTGGCTGTTAAGGCGCGGATGGCAGCGACCAGAAGCGCCTAGCTGGACGCGGGGTCAGGTAGATTGCTTTCTTTTCTAATGTCTCACAACATTTTCTTAACTCACCTTGTCCAAGAAAAGAACTAAACAGGTGTACAGACTACGTGAAGATGAAAACAGGTGAAGTAGATAACCCGACATGAATGTAGGCTTTAGGGGTCCAGTTATTTGCTAAGTTCAACGTGGGCTCAACGAGCTCACGAGCCTTTTCCAATGAGGGTATCATATACCCTTCGACACACTCTACCTGCGCCACCACCCCCACCGCCAAAAGCCCTTCCTCTTCACCTTCCCTCCTTCGCTCTCAACACAAGCAGCCCTCCTCAGCTCCTCTTCTCTCCTATGCCGCTCTACCATCTCCAAGCTAGCCGGCGGCGCCGCTAGCCGTCGCTGCTCGTCGCTTATAGCCCTATTGACACTGATGGACCTCCTCGAGATGGCTGTAGCAACGTCCAATAAGCCATGCTCTTCAGCTAGATGCCGCACATCCTGTGCTAAATCCATGATGCTGAAGAAATCCGAGCCTGGGTCGACTTGTCCGGTGCGGGTGACGGACGCAAGATCAAGGGTGAAGTCGTGGGCGAGAATGGCTTCGGCTTGGAGAGTGACGAATTGCCGTATCGACATTTGAGCTGCTCGAGGTGGAAGAGCGGTCGCAGGCTCATCCGATGGGGGCACCTGCCCATCGACCGTTCCAGCTTGCCGTGGATATTCCGCCATCGTGCCCCAAACTCTCATCTGATGTCTCCTTCTCTCAAACAGTTCCCTCTCGCTCTTTCTGGCATTTCTCTCCTCACAGTCCCTTCCAACCATGTCCGCAAACCCAGCAAGCGAATTTGATATCTTGTTAACAGCGTCGCGTCCCTGTGGATACCTATCCCGCATTTTCTGCAGCACTGCCAACGCCTCTTCAACGAAACCAGGCATCTCCTTCAGTTCTTGCGAAATCTCTTCGGGATGCGTGGGGAAGAAGTCTTGACGGCATAGCGGGCAGGTGCTTGCGTTGTCGAACCAGGTTTCGATGCAGGATGCGCCGAAGATGTGGTCGCATGATGGCATTTTTAGTGCATGGTGGCTTTTTATAGCAGCTGTGTCGGCACACGGCTCGGCACAGATTGGGCAGATATGGGGTGAGGCGTCTGTGGAGGAGGAAATTATGTGAGGAGAGGTATAAAGGGCTGTGTTGCTGAAGGTTTCGCGGGTGTTGTAGAGTGGTGCCATTTTGGGATGTGGATTTGAATGTCGTTGGTGAAGATGTTTGGGAGTGTCTCTGGAGATGGTTTTGGAAGTGTGAGTTGATGCAGATTTAGAATGCTCAAGATGCGCTTATATTCCAAAATAATATCTTTGCATTCATACCATGGTTCTTTGCATACGAGCTTTGCATCAGACTCATGGTTGGCGATATCCAGGTTTGGCAGTGACGAACCATAGTTGAGGGAGTTCAAATCACAACTTCAGGATCGGCACACAACGCAAGATCAAAATAGGTCTACAGCCTACATCAATACAAAAACACGAAAATTGGGTAACCTGACGTTGATGTAGGCCCTAGGCCTGTTTGAAGATATCACGGTACTTTTTAATGATAGGTATGATGAGATCCAGACGTACCGCAACACGAATGATCAAAGCACTGTTCGAGATACCAAATAATGTTGCATTATTTTTGAGAGTACAAGGAAACGCGATAGCCTTCGCCACGATAGTATAGAGGCACCAGCTGAATCATACAGCCGAGATATTGAACGCCGCTGAGACGTTGATATACTCGCCTTCGAATGCCATAGCCTCATCGCCATCAAGCATTTCTCGGGAGTCTCTGTCGACGTCGGCGTCATCATCCGTGTCCGTCTCCCTCCGCGATGCTTCAGTCAGTTCCGGCGCCCACCTAGCCTTCACACTGAGAGTGTGTGGGTAGTCCTCCCGCATTTCGACCATGACACGCAGGGTGACCTCGTAAAAGTCGTCACCTTCTGAGCCAACCCGAAACTCTTCGCCGACGCTCTGCTTGAGTGCACTCATATCGTAGTGGATTGTTCCCAGCACTTTTGCGTCCTTGTTTTCCTTGTCATCGGAGCGATACCACGATTTCTTTGGTCCTAGAGGCGTGTACCAAATTTGCTCCTCAGCTATCCACCGCTTTGAGAGATGGAATGAATGAGTAGACGTGAAGAAGTATTGCCGGCCTGGTGGAAACACATCTCCTTTCTGCGCGAAGTATTCGAGACAGTTGAATATGTAGCGTTTGCCATCGTTACCCGATTCGCCACGGGCTTTACGTAAGTGCCGAAGCTGGGGGTATTTTTTGAAGAAACGGGTGCTTCGACTGTTCCATTCTTTGGGAAGGTGTCGTTCGATAGCGAAGCTGGCGCGCAGGAATCGATTTGGGGGGAACATCTTTACTTTGAGGGCTTTGAGCCCTGCACCACCGGTGACTGCGTAGGTTCTTGTAAAATTTAGTCTACTTGCTTCTGAAGTGTACTCAGGGCTGGTTTGCTTACGAGTATTCCTTTTCGTCGGTATGCTCTGGGACATGTTCCCAGGTGGCCATATATCGCTTTCCTTTGGCTCGAAACGACTTGCTGTCGGAAAATTGTCCGACCCAGACAACCGAATCGATGCGCTCTCCCTTGGCTACAACGAGGGAATGTTGTTCGTCAATGATCTTGATCAGACCGTCATGAGCAGGTTTGTACACTCGAATCCATTCATCTCTTTGCTATATCAGTACTTTGGCGGGTCTAGCAAAGACCATATACATACGATGTGAGTTTGAGGGTATGAGGAAAAAGCCCTCTTGCCGGATCCGATTTGAGACCCTGGATGTTGAATCCGGTTGGCGGCTTAGTCGTTGGATCACTAGATGAGCGTTTGATGTCAGACTCGTACTTTTGCACCACTCCCGCAACAATACCAGGCACTGTTATGTCCGCATATTGTTCACCAAGATATGATTCTGATGCCAGCTTCTTTGTGACAATGTCTCGGAGAACCCGGTTTAGCGAATCGCCTCCATGAGAGTCACCTAGATCGGCTTAGTGATCATGGGGCTATGACTGAGATGAGGGCTAAGCTTACTGCTCATCGGACAAATTTGTTCCCAGCGTACTGGATCATTGCGTGTCTTCTTGAGTGTGATCATCTCGATAGTACCACCTCCAGCATCGATGACGGAAACACAGGATCCAATCTACAGCGAGATTAGCTTAGCGCGGTGATAAGAAGGTATTCTGACGTACTCCGACCTCAGTGCCCTTTAAGGAAAGACAATAAGAAGCGGCTGCCTCAGGCTCTGATACTGTTGTGATGCTGGGTGGTACTTGTAGGTTCCACACCTCCACTATCGCTTTGACAATGGCCGTATAATATCGATGACAGGATGTTACGCCCCAGTCACTAGGGACGGAGATAACAAATTCGGGGCGCGCAATCCCCATATCGAAGGATTCCTCCTTTGCGAACCTGAACCACTCTGTGAAGTAGTCACTCATGACGTCATCTCGTTCGCGGATGTACCCATCTCTTATAAGGTCATCGAGTTGTTTTTCGAGGTCGTTGCGAACCTCTAAAGTCGCGTCGGTGTCGTCCAGCATCAGTTTGGAGAGACGCACAAGGCGATCACCATTTTGATGGATCTCCCCATGAAACGTGCTCAGTAGTCGGGACACGCTCCAGCCCCAGGATCGGTCGTCGTCCTGACCATAGTATATATGCGTCGGTACAAAATCGTTGTGCTTGTCGTTGGGACAAATGTCTTCGTCATATCCGTGGAGATAATCGATATGGTCTTTGCTGATCGAATTGACGTCTTGCCTGGCAGGGACATGGATGCGGCCCATCTTTCCGTATGTGGTCCCCCAATCAATGATCAGGAAGAGACGATCTAGATCGGAGATATCCGAAGTGTTGGGGGCCATTATCTCGCCAATTTCCGAGAAAACGACAGGTAGAAACAGGAACAAAAGGAGCGAAACAGGCACGCAGCTACGCTTATCGTTCGCTGATATTGTCACGGCTACGTGCAGCGCCTAGGCGCATGGTCTGTCTCACGTATACGTCAGATAGGAGCGGCCAATATGCGCGGAGCTCTGGCTGTATTTCGATGTGGCATGGGAGCAAACACTCTAAGACACGCGTGTCTTTAGTCAACAAACCTACGATGGGCAGCAGAACACACCTCTCTTCTCCTTGTGCTTCTGATATAACACAATTCGTTCTGACATCCCCAACCGTCAACTAGCTTCTGGACGCTCGACTCGGCGTGCATTCCTTTTTACCAGCAGAATTTCGATGGCGCGCCACCGCTGGACCGTTCAGGATGATGCCTTACTATTTGCATGTGCGCAATACTGCTTCCAGCACGATCTCAGCCTCATAGCGAATACGACCACGATGTTCAAGCGTGCGGGCAAAGGCCGTACCAGAGAGGCCATCAGATGGCGTTTGCAACAGTATGGTCGCGTCAAACAATTTGAAGAGCACGGAATCTCATGCATGAATCTCTCCCCGGCCTTCGAGAGGGAGATTGCAGCACAGACGGCCCAGAGTCTCTTAGGGCCCAGTCCTGCAGCAGCCAGTGAGACTGGTGCTGCGAATGTTCGACCGAAGATGCGCGAGGCGAGTCTGATAGAAGCGGCAAATGTAAGCTTTCACATACAAATGAGCAGTGGTAGTCTCGGACGAATGCTAACAGTATCGAAGTCGGCGCGTACTACCAGAGCGAAGAAGCGCGCTGCCTCACACGATATCGAGACCCGCGCACGGAAAAGGCATCCAAAGACACCCGCGGGTCGCGAACGGGGTACAAAGACAAGTCCATGGAAGATAGTGGAGGAAGAGGAGCGGGTGGGAGGAACTATAAGTGAAGAGTTACAGGCCGACGACAGGTCGGTGGCTCAGGACGCTCTGGTGGCGAGGAGCTCTGCAAGATCCGCGGGTGGCTCACCGTATGACGCCAAGATACCAGGAAGCATGCCCGTCGATGAAGTTGTTGATCGAGGAGCAATAACACCGTCATGTGTATGGTAACTATCGTGCTGTCGGAAGACGTAGATGCTGACTGAAGTTCAGGCGAGCCCAACGAATGCCGGCGCTAGTCGCACTATTTCCCCAGCCGAGTCCCCCAACGCTGCCGACGCTCCGCGTAGCCCTCGACGCGTCGCAGCAACAACACACACACCAATCATCGCCTATCTTGAGAAGAGGCTCGAGGATGCAGTCCGCCAGTCACAGCTAGAACAGGCCGGTAACAATACCCTACGCAAAGAAAACGAAGGACTGCGCCGCCGCATCGGGAAGCTCACGACTCCCAGCAATGCTGCACTGCGCCAAGCGGCTAGTGATCTCGAGTTGGAACGGGCAAAACTCGTTTCGGAGAAGCTGACGATTAACTCGCGTCATCAAGATGCTATACGATGCTTAGAGCAACTTCTTGAAGCCAAGGCAAAGCATATCGGACAGCTACAATGCCTTCTCAACACCCTAAGAGGCCCTCAGCTGGTCTCCAGATCTCAAGGCTACCCGATCGAATACGATACTGGTTCTCTGCGTGCCGACTGGTGTCAGAATGTTGCTCGGCTTGCATCTGACTGCCCAACATACGACATGACAAGATCCCTTCGCGCTGAAGAGCAGGTACCCGTCAAGCTTGAGGCTGCCATGCGTGCTGTTACTGGACTTTCCATGGCACAAACCGGGAACCTGACGCTCGCTGAGTGCTTCACTAAAACCACGGCCATGCCTACTGATGTCAATATCCAGATCGCCTGTTTCATGACTCATGCTCTACGATGGTGTTTCAATACAGCGTTCCATACCAGGGGGCTGAAGTCGGAGAAGTTGCACGAAATGTGGCAGTCGATTGCGTCACTCAGTCAGTAACACTCCCACGACTAGTACGTTCATCAATTAACGACTACAGATGGACTCAAATGTGTACGAGAACTAGACACCATGGCTACCCTAGATAAGATCGGCAATGAGTACTTTCGCAAGCACCAAACACCGACGAAGGCCAAAAGTCAGATGGCAATCTTCATCAAAGAGTGCCGCAGCTTCACTCCTTGGCTCGATAGTGCGAAATTGCGTCCGATGCTCGATACGTGGCTTCAGTCAACCATGGAGATGAAGTTGGAACTTCTCGTGTCAAGCCAACACCACAAACTCGCCTTCCCGCCACCTGGCGCCCCTTACGACAAGGACACCATGGAAGGTCAAACCGAGGACGGAAACAGACAGGGCCCCAAGGACATTCCAGCCGACTATCGAGTCAAAATCTGCGTCTGTCCCGCGCTTTATACGTGCGTCTCGGAATCAGACCTACCAGACTGTGACGACCCTTTCTTCAAGGCGGAGAATTACAAAGATGCTTTGCTCGAGAATAGAGACTTCTTCGCTGAAGAGCCGGGCAAGTACCAGGGTTGGGAAGGAGCTGTCTTAGTATCGCGGGCTATCGTCTTCGTCGAGAAGTGCCCTCAACAATCTCAGCTCGTGCCAGAGCAGATTCAACCAAGGCAGACTCTCCGGATCCGACTAACCCCAAGCTTGGCAGAAGATACCCAGGACGTGGCTGAAGGTGGCGAGGATGGCATGAGCAGTGAGGACGACGTCAAACAGTGAGATAGCAAAGCGCACTATACTCTTGAGGAGAGACTAGAGTCGATGCCTAAGCAGAGCCCATAACCCGGTCTAGTTAACGCAGTATTGTAACACAGTAAAGGGGCTATACCCAAAGCGCAACATAGATAGTACTTAATCTCATACCTTTCCTACCATTCCCACGTCTTTCCGACCACTCCTGCATCTTTCCAACTACTTCTACACCTTTCCAACTACTCCTACACCTTTTCAACTACTCCCACACCTTTCCAACCACTCCATACTGAGCATCTGATCTCACTAGAATTTCTAAAGAACCATCACAAAGACTCTTTCATGACATTTCTATGAGCAGTTCATCAATACGGCAACGTATTCATGATGTCTGATCATTGTGCCAACCACACCCACCGCTACCAAACACCCAACCCTCAAAGTACACAAACAGAATCCCTGCGAGCACACCACTCAGACCCATCCCCAAAATTCATCACACAAACGCCTACCCAACCACCCTCCCAAACCCAAACCCCCTAACCCCATTACTAACCCACACCCCCTCCCCCACACTCACAGTCTCAATCCCCACCGGCTCCTCCATACAAAACCCACTCCCCAACGCCCACCGCCGACTCGTCCCCCTCTGCCCCCCAGCCCCCACTTTGGCACTCCTCGTACTATGCCCCCACCTCCCCGCAAACGGCTTCCTCAACTCCCCCTCATCCGCCCCATCATCCTTCAACGTCTTAGCCATGAACTCTCCAGAGGGTACGCCTACAGGCGGCGTAATCCACCTCCCGCCGCGGAAGAGATAGAGGGATGTCAGTGTGCCTTCAGTCAGCTCGCGGACTTCGTTGTAGAGCATGACTTCGCGGTAAGCAGGGCCTGCGGGGTTGGGGGGTAAGGCGCGGAGACGGCTTTGGTCGTACATTTCGCGTTTTGTGGTTTTGAGGAGGGTGAAGGGGGAGGAGGGGGTGGGGGAGGTGTCGACGGCGATTTTCCATTCTGGTGGGGGTGGAGGGGGTTGGGAGGATTGGGAGGAATCGCCGGCGGGGAGGCTGTCTGTGGGGCCGAGATGGAGGGCGCCGCCTGTTAGGGGGGAGGGCGTGAATGGTTTTGTGGTGTTGGTGGTGGTGTTGGGGTTGGCGGGATGGTGGGGTGGGGATGGGGATGGTGGGTCTAGAGATGGGGGGTAGAGGGTTGACAGGGGGACTGCTGGTATCGGGGTAAATTCGACGGTTAGATTGGCGGCTTTGTCGAATAGGAGGCGGAGCTGGGTTGTTCTTAGTCATGTGTAGGGATGGGATGGTCTATCGCAGGTCGTACCTTCATTGCTTCATCTTTTCCTGTTTTCTCAATCTCGTCTTGCACTCGCTTCAACAGTTCCTCATGCAAAGCCTTTCCATCTTTCAGTCTTTTCTCGACTTCGAAAAAGTCAAAGTGCTGTGCGGCTTCCACCATCCGGTCTCGGTGGTATGCGAGCATGTAGAAGGGTGACGGCGTGACGAAGTTCAAGATGGCTCTTGAGTTTTCCTCTGATTTAAGGAGTAATGGATCGTATCTCAGGGATGTGAAGAGCTGGAACTCGTCTTCTGATGCCATGGTGAGCCGCTTGTGATGGTGATGACTCCGTGAACGTTAAGATGCTGGTGATTACAGGTTGTTCGACAGATATCTTTAAACTTGACTATCAGTCCTTGTCTCAGGCCAATGTTGGATGCAGATATGCAATGATGTTGTGTTGTATATAAGACTTGCCTATGTAGATGTACGACGGATGTGCTGTCATTGATGGTGGGTCAGCGAGTCGACCGTCCAATCCGTTCCGAGCGGACCTCAGCCCGGATTAAGTTCCGAAGTCGGCTGATTGGTCAGGACGCGTACTGCATAGAACATCGTGAACTCTGAATCTGCATTGTTAACGTGTAATGCTCTGTTGCGATTTTCTGGCTATTTATATTGCGTGCTATGTCTAGTCATCCCATTGTTGACGATAGTCTTGATGCACCACACTCAAGGCAAGAACGCTGATTATGCCTCATCCGAACCACCTTCTTAACGCAACAAGACCTTCACGAGAACCACACCTAGAACATCAAATTCCCATTGGCCCGGTGCAAATTCCGCAACAATCCACAGCACCAACTCCCACATACTCATATCGGAAAGACCATACCCAGCATTCCAAAACAATTACCTTACTTAGTAAACACAAGGCAGACCTGTAGATGACTGTAGAAAAGCGGTGTTTCCCTCCACCCAACCATGGTGCTGGTAGGTAAGAACCACGGCTGGGGCCGACAAAGCTCCCTTACCAATTAGAGAAGGCGAGCATGTGGATCGCAAGTCTGGTGCGGAGGTTTGTACCGAAGCTGTGACAACAGGTCCACGGGTGGGTAAGAAGCGAGATGATGACATGATGATGTGAGGCTGGTCAGGGGCGCGTGTAAGGAGTCGTTATGTGTCTGCGCGCAGTGCTTCCGAGTGAAGGTTTATTTTCCCTTGGTTCTAATCTACGACCACCGAGGATATTGCGGATCTGTTGGGACGCGTGGTGGACAATTTATTACTACATACGCCAGGGCATCGCTGGCCGGCGGCAGCGTAGTAAGCCCTTCACCTTCAGCGATGATGCAGCTCAGCAGGTCTCTACGAGTTCATTCAGCCTGTGAAGCCACAATCACCCCGTGCGCGTCGCCACGCGTTTGAAGATCTGGCGCGGACGCTCTTGCGCAGCAGCAGGTGGATTCCACGATGGACGAGTCTTCGTTGGCTTCGCTGAAGCGAAACCCCCAACTGCGCCCCTCTGAGCATTGATCAAAGCCTCTATGACAGCGCCAGCCTCTGCGCGTACATCTACATACTTAGCCGGGACCAGAGGCGGCTCAACATGGAACCTCAAGCTACCCGTCAAATCCAGTGTGTTGCCCGCGCGCAGCGTATTCAAAAGACCTGGCTGGCTCTTCCGGACCTCAGGATAGACAAACTTGCCATTCTCGTCGTATCCGCGGGTGTGGAGCTCTTCTTTGATAGCGTTGCGCAGACGCCGTCTAGCCCATGTTCTTACACAGCTGGACTTGTTCAGGTCGGCGGGGGTGGTCGCATGCCACCACAGTCCCTCCTTCTTCTTCTCCCTCTGTCTGCGGCGCTGCGTCTCGAAGAGCGGGTGCTGGGGATCGGACGCGACGTGGTTGAGGATGAAGTGCTTGTAGTCGGTGGCATAGCTGACTTTGAACGTGCGCGGCTGCTGTCTGGCGAGGAGCGAATAGACGGCATTCTTTGACATGCCTCTCGTGTGTATGCACGGTGACGTAGGGTGAAGGAGCAGCGGGTGGGGGTGAAAAGGCGTATGGACCACGGATGGATTGATTTTCGGCCGGGTGAGCGACGGGGCGCTAGGCTCTAAGCGGGCTTAGCGCGCAGTGTCGAAGGCTCCCACAGTGAGTCGGAATCCACAGTGCAAACAACCGTCGAGCCGCCACTACATAAAGACTTGCGCCCGCCGACGTTCCTGCTTTCAACACCAAACACAACCCCACCACACTAATACACACTTCGACTACCGCCCACCATGCCGAAGAACAAGGGAAAGGTATGTCCAGCGCTTTTTAAGAGGGGCTGCCCCGCCACTTCTCCCAGCGCCTGACGCCCAAACCTCACGGCGCTTTCCATGTCTGGGCGATGCGGCGCTTGCTCTCACATGCCAAAATGCACCTGCTAACATGACTACCAGGGAGGTAAAAACCGACGTAGGGGTAAGAACGAGAACGACAACGAAAAGCGCGAACTCGTCTTCAAAGAGGAAGGCCAAGAATACGCCCAAGTCGTCAAGATGCTCGGAAACGGTCGTCTGGAAGCCCAGTGCTTCGACGGCGCCCGCCGTCTCGCCCATATCCGCGGCAAGCTGAGGAAGAAGGTCTGGATCAACCAGGGCGACATTATCCTGCTGTCGCTGCGAGACTACCAGGATGAGAAGGGTGATGTTATTATGAAGTATTCTGGTAAGTCTACATTATTCCCTACTCTCAACACCGTTTCTTCTTTCTTGGACACAGTATTGACTTTGGTACAGCCGACGAAGCCCGCTCATTAAAAGCCTACGGCGAACTCCCCGAAAACGCAAAGATCAACGAGACAGATACGTACGGCGACCAGGGCGACGAGGGCATCGGTTTCGAGTTCGACGAGGACCGCGACGACAGCGATTCGGACGAGGCCGACGGCACCGGCAAGAAGGAGATTGATATTGACGACATTTGAGGCGGAGGCGCGCAGATCCGCCATGCTGTCTCGGCTTCCTGCTTTGCGGCTGCTGCTTTGCTGTGGCGGGGGCCGGGCTGCTCAAATGCTGCTTCTTGCGAGCGGGCGGATGGTTTGAGGGATGTTGATGTTGAGGATACATGGTTCCGTATGGATGATCATGAGGTTGTTCGGCATGTTTTAATGTTAACATGCTTTTGGGCTTTTCGTGAAAGCATGATGGGATAGAGAAATGATACACGCATAATCTTCGTCCAAACTACATAACTTCCCAAGATTCCTGTTCTCTCTACCTTCTAACACCCCAACCCTCTAACTAAACCCCTGCCACTGCACCTCCTCATACACACTGCGATTAAAAAACCTATGCACCCTCCTCCCCACATCCGTGCCCACCAACCAACAAATCTCCCTCTCGGACATATTCGCCACCTCAAACACACTCTCACTCTTAAGCATCAACGTCGACACCACATTCTCATTCACCCCGGGCAGCGCCCTCAACATATCCTGACTCGTCTGATTAAAGCTCCTCATCTCATCCCCACTCTGATTCGGATCAAGCCCCAACTGCACCGCCCTCATCGGATCAGGCTCATCCTGCTGTTTCTTGAGCTCTGCGAAGATCTCAGCCGTCTGGTACGGACTGCTACTCCAAATGATCCTCAGCCGCGGGAACGCGAGGGTAAGCATAACGAGTTTCGATTGGAGGTCGGGTGTTGTGGCGGGGCCGTTGGCAGAGGAAGAGCTGCCGGCTGAGT